TTCCGGAAAATGTTGTAAACTATTCCAACTTTTCAATCCAAAAAACGTTTCTGACTGTCAACTTGCCGACAATTTACGCGCCGCTTTGTCGACTTTCCCTGCTCATAAATGGAAACCCATTTTCCCATTGTAGTTTCATGGAAAGGAATTTAGAATGACATTAGCTGGAAGCGATCGCCTGAAAACATGCACATTTTTTCATTGTCTAAGTTTAGAGTTAGTCTACCAACTTATAACCCGGTATAACACAATTGCTGTTTGTTAATGTCAATTGGGTCGTTATGACAATGCGAGTGGTGCTTGGAAGTGTGTAATTGGTGGTGAAACATCGCGAAATCCAAAGTAATGGGTCACATGAGTTTTGAGTTTTCTATGTACGAATCGCGCAGTTATTATCCGTGATATAAAGTGACACATTTGCTATCATTCATTGAAATGTCAAGTATGCACACAAAAATAAAAAAAACACGTACTTTTTATTACAATATGGTTTTCATGAAAAATGCTAAAATTGTAATATCACGTGGTACATTTCCATAAACTATCCCACCCCAGTGATTGTTATTTCATTCACTTACTTACACCAGTAACAAAAGATCAAATATATATTCATCATGTATGAATAACGACAACTTTGTTTTGCCGATATGACGTCATCGCGTCTGTCAACAAAAATATCAGAGCGATATATTATATAACGTTTAGGTTTCATTGATATCAAGAATTCAATTTTCAGTATCTTTATTCGTAATTTCTTTCCGCCAGTATAGGTGTCAAATACCCGGACTCATTTCCATTTATATAGGACGCCCCCTATAGACTAATTGTAGTGAGTTGCAATCAATTACTAAGCGTTTGATTGGTTGGTTATATTACAGAACACAAAACGTTACACCAATAATAACAGAAAATATCACCATTTAATGCTTACATTAATACATTACGAATAATAGATAACTGATGACAGTGTTTATTGACAATGATTGGACGTATATGCACGTACCTTGTAGGACAGAACGCTCAGTCTTTGTTAGTAGCATTTTCGTCACCAACTAGAAGCCATATTTCCTATTTCTATTCTGTCTGTGGGGGCGCACTCGTCAAAATATCGTACCAGCAATTTGGGACGAAGATGTGTAATTTGGCTACACAAATATGTGATATAGAAACTGTAATTGTAAATCGACGTTTTATTTTTGAAGTGCACCCCCAGCAACAAATCCAAAGAATTTAGTATACGTACACCTGGAAATGACTACATTGCTAAATTTGTAAATTACTATTTTAACTTAAAAAATGTTTTAGTAAGGTATTTATGCGAACTATAACTAATTACACAGTTAATTCTAAGACGCATTCTATGACACAATATTATGCTCGCTATGGCTACATAAGTCAATTGACTAACGGTGGGATACTGGTAATGTGCCTCCTTGTTAAACCAGCCTCGATATTCTACTAATACCCAGAAAACAGTCCACCAATTACAACTACAATTATTGTAATATAAATATTATCTATGCTATATGTCAAAGGAGAAACCTTCACGATCTCTAACCTTTGTGTACGATGGTAAAAATTGTTGAACCATGGTGATACCTCCTTGGATATCTCTTGCATACTTTACTATTTCTGACCAGTTGGATTCTCGTCGCTGAATGAAGACTTTTGCTCCTACAAAATAAAACAGTGTT